AGGGAGGGGGTGATGCTACTGTAGTCGAACGGTGGGACGGACGTGGAGTTCAGTTTTTGGGCACGCATACGGGTGCTGCAGGGATTTTTAGGTGTACCTCCTCGGGCTCTTGGACACCTTTTTCTCGTTATATGTGTGCGTGTTCCTTAGATCCTCAGATGGCTCTAGCACTTTCGTGACCACGGGCTGAGAGTCTTCGCTAGATTTTGGCATTTAGCATTTGACATACGGTTTAATGTGAAGACAACAACAACAACAACTAAAACTCTTGTCGAACACAAACCTATCTTCGGCGGTAGGTGCGGGGGCAAGACGCACGACGAGCTCATCAACACCTCCGTCGAGTACCTCGCCCTGTCCAGCGTCTACTTCCGCCGCTTCGGCGGCGCCGACCACGTGCTTGTGTGCGCCTGGTGGAACTGCAGGGGGGTGCTGGGACCGAAGCCCCGCATGCTGCTGCGCCGCACGGTGGTCGGGATCAACGAGAAGATTCTTGGGTGGACCAGGTGCGCGCGCGGGCGGCGGAGTCTGACTCTCATTCTGTTTACCGTTGGTGGGGGGGGAGGATCCTTGATATGCATGCTTTTTGGCTGATAGGTGCACGTGGGGGGGAAGGGGCTGGAGCTGGGCGGGAGATCCTTGGGGTGAAGGCCTCACTCTTATTGGCTGGTAGCCGCAAGATGGTGGGGGAGTTAGAACTGGGCGGGGGATCCGTGATATGAATTCCTCACTCTTTTTGGCTGGTAGCCGCAAAATGGTGGGGGAGATAGAGCTCGGCGGGGATCAGTGATGTGAATGCCCCACTCTTATTGGCTGGTAGCCGCAAGATGGTGGGGGAGAAAGAACTCGGCGGGGGATCCGTGATATGAATGCCTCGCTTTTTCTTTTTCTTGCCTCGAGGCTGATGTGGGGGCCCGACGAGCTGGTTTTTCGGTAAACGGGGTTGTAGCGTCACCCACGCCTCCGTACGGGGCACGCGGTGCGTTAGTTGTTCGATTTCTCGAGAGAACGGCTTGGTCAAGTCAATCGGTGTTGGAGGAGCCTCGTGGTACTAACCAATCGCATTATTGCCCGCAACGTGTTGCACGGCAACGACAGGTGGGGGTGCGGGTTGGACAAGATGGTCACCATCCCCTACACGGCGAGCAGCGTCCTCACCACCAGCGACATGATCGGGGGGCGCGCGGCTGAGGACCGAGATATACCCTTCTTTTTTGTGGGCACGGCGCGGAGTCGCCCGGAGCGCCAGAACTTGGACGTAAGTCATCACATCATCATCGCGGAAAGGGAAGACTCCCGCACGGATGCGTGCCGTATGTGACGCTAGATATCACGCCCCCAGGGCCGATTTTCAAAAGGTCGATTACTCCCACCACCAAGAGGATGCGTGCATCCGACGATTATGTTTTTGGAAAAGCTCCTGAACGAAACGAGACACTGCCATTTTCGGCACCGCCATTCTTTCTGCTGTGGAGTACTCGAGGGTTGAAAATCGGTCCGGAGGGTGTGATGTCTTACGTCATCCCACCTGCAGTAGGTTCCTGCCGCCCTTTGGGTCTCTTCTGGTGTATCTGGTCGCGAAATAGGACTCACTTTTATTTAGGGCGTTGAAAAATGCCCTGTGTCTTCAGAGATATGCTGATGGAGAAGACTGGGGGGGGGCGCAACTCAGTCTCGTATGGGCCTTTCCGATGATGTCTTTTGCAGAACAAGTAATTGACGATTTACTATTTTTCTCCCCCCCTTTGTTTGGGAGGCGAAAGTGGGCAAACAAAAAGAGGGGTAGACAAGCCACGGAATGGGTCAAGGTTGTAGAGGACGTATGGAAGGGGCTCGACATGGACGAAGATGAAACGCTGGAAACGGAGGGTCTACAGGGGTTCAAGGATAAGATATCTGTTGCTTGTGCCGAGAGAGAAGAACAGAATCTGAGGAAAGAATCCAAGGATAAGGAGGGTCTAGAAGTGTACGGAATGTTGAAGGAAGGAATAGGGTTCAAGGACTACCTACATGGACCAATGGATGCAGGAACAAAGCTTAAGGTCAAATTCAGGACCGGGGACATAGGCCTTCGAGAACGTCGACGAAGACATAGGACGGTAGACGAGGAAGACGACGAGTTCAAATGTGATTGCGGCTTCGAATGCGAAGACCGTGTTCATGTAGTCGCGGAATGTCCGTTGTACAAGAAGGAGAGGGAAGTGTACGTGACTGAGCTGGGAAAAATAGATAGAACGTACAGGGAGATGTTTGAGGCATGGAATAGAGAGGAAAGGACGGTAACTGTACTGGGGCATAGGAGGTGGGTTGAAAAGGCGGGAAGGGATATCGTTGGGATAGACAGACTAGGGAAGACAGTTTTTGAGCCACCTTTGGCAAAGTAGAAAGGACCGATTGGCCATCGGTGATCGGTCCTGTGGGAACAATGCTCCGTCCTCTCGAGGACGCGTGGTCAATGGTCTAACCGCTAAGGCATGCAAAACATAGGAGTACGCCCCCCCCCCCTTTTCGACGGTAGTAGTGAACCTGTCATGATACCCCGGATGCCTTGGTCATAAAGATACGGGGGTGGTGTGACGAAGATCCTCGACCATTTTATATCTCGGAGCCCCCCACTTGTACCGGAATATAGGAGGATACCCAACTACACTATAGCGAGTTGAGTCCGTGACAACGGGTTTCGACGCTCCTGTAGAGGAAACCCCTCTTACTCGGCGGTAGTCTCTTAAATCGTCGCCACCACTGTACGTTCGATTCTAACAGTTCTTTGCATCGTTTGCGTGCCGAATTTCCTTCAGGTGGTGACGGGTATGGCGGAGGGCAGTGTCATAATGCTCGGCAATCATCAATCGGACTGGGGCATGAACTCGACCCAGTACGCAGCACACATTTCCCGCAGCAGGTGCGACTGCTGCTGCTCAAGCGCGTATGTCAAGAGCACGCGTATTTTAGTAGAACCACGCCCTATAGCCCTTACCCTGCGGTAACCATGTATATCTTGTTTTGTGTACACGTGTTTGTTTTGTTTTTTTTTGTCACTTCGAATGTTACGAGTCGTGTTGTCTGCGACAGCACGCATTCGGCGCCAGCGTATGAAGAATGAAGAGCCTACAGTGGTTGCGGTCCTGAAAAGGCTGTCTTCCTTGCTGTACAGCAGTTCGATCGCCCTTTCGTGGTCGCCTCATCATACCTTATTTTATTTTCTTCACCGCATTAAGGCCCAGCTATAATATAACTCCACAGCACGGAACACGACAGAGCAGTATAAATAGGTACCGTGTTTGACACAAGATATCACACCCCCGCAACCGTTTTTCATAACGCGAATGCTACACAGCAGTTATAGTGGCGGTGCCGAAAATGGTGGCAATGAAATTGCCTCGCTGAGATCTTTTCGATTGGCTATCGTTTGGTGTTGGTACCCTCTTCGTCGTGGATGGGTGGAGCTTTGGAAATGGGTTTGAGCGGGTGTGGCATCTTGCGTCACATACGGTACTTTTATATCGAAAGAACGCTGAAATCAGATCGTCGTCGTCCACATCAACAACCCCCACCCACTGTACAGGCTTCAACATATCCCCTTGGACTACTATTGAGGTATTTTCTCGAACAGGTCTGTTACTGGTGCATGATGTGTCTTTGTCGAGAAGAAGGGGAGGAGACGATTTATCGAACTTGAACTGACGGATGCTTCCGTCCATCGACATCTCCTTCGACTGTGGTGTTATCTCGAACCGGCAACCTGTCTACGTTTGTTTATTTTCTAAAGAACCAAGAACAAAATGTGCTGTTGTAGTGGAACTGGAACCTACGAGTGCTCCGGTCGGTCGATCGAGCAGGTTCTGCTTCTGCCCCCGGGGAGACACGGAATCAAGCCGCCGCATCTTCGACGCCGTTGCCGCGGGCTGCACGCCGATCGTCACGAAGGCTTCGGTCGCCGTCCTCCCGTTCTCCGAGTAAGTGCTTTCTTGACTTCTTGACACGGAGGATGTCCTGTTGGTGTTCGGAGGGCAGGGGGGGGGGGGGGGGGGTCTTCGGTGACCGTCCTCAAGTTCTCCGAGTCAGTTTCCGTCGTTATGGTGTGTGGGACGCGACAGGAGAAATGGAAGGTGGTTGACAGTTTGGGGGCACCACCGGGGAGGGGTGTGTGTCTTATGTATCTTTTTTCTTTTGACTTCATCTTTTGTTTTGTTCACTAATTTTGTCTCGTCCGTTCCCTCCGTCGTTTCGTTTTTGTTATGATTTTCTTGTTGCTTTTTTTGTTTTCTCGGCATCGGTGCGGGGTGCGGGGTGCGGCGGCGGCGGCGTCAGGCATGTGCTCAACTACTCGGACTTTGCCGTGGTCGTGGACCCGGACGCCTTCACCACGCGGGAGCGAGTGACGAAGGTCGTGCAGGATGCCCTCTCGAGGTGATGATCATGTCCTTTCTGGTCTCGTTTCATATTTTGCTGGTAAAGCTCCTTGGCAAGGTAAGGGGAAGTCAGGGTTCAGCGAATGAGGAAGTGGGGGCCCCGCGAAGGGGAATGGGAGTCCCGTGAATCGTGAATGGGAACTGGGGGTCCCGCGAAACGTTTGGGGGTTCCACGTAATGGGTCGGGGCGGCGTCTACCATAAAGACGCAGACAGGAACAATAGTAATGACCAAGTTAGTTTTGGCAAGAGGCGCTGCAAACTAGTATATTATAGTGTTTATTGAAACTGTCGAATTTTTTGTTGTACCGATCGACCGATGATGACGTGACGATGCAGGTCGGAAGCGGAGGTGGAGCAGCTGCGGGAAGGCGGGAGAAGGAGCATGAGCGCTCTCCTGTACGGAGTGACGATGGGCAAGGAGATGGGCGACATGCGACCCTTCCTCGGCACCGCTACGAACTTCGTCCGAGCGGTGCGTGCTGAATCTGTGTATGCCCGCCCCCGCCCCCGCCCCCCCCCCGGTGTTTGCCATCGGGGTTGGGTTTTCGTCACTTGGCAACGACGTTGTAGCACAAGGCCGATTGCTTCGTGAGCTCGACAACTTGTAGGTTACCTCTTTTTTTTATGGCCTTTGTTATTGTTTGCGGCAGTATCCGTGATGGTGGTCGAGTAGATCATGTTGTGCGTGGTCGAGAACCCTCACTCCGCGCACAACGGATGATCGCACTACGTTGTGTTCAGTTGGTCAAGCGCCCTCGAGGCAGTTACACAGCGCTTGTAACTGTCTCTGGAAATGAAAGTACCAGAAAATATATAAAGTCGTTCGCAGCTGTCATCCGTATGCCAAGAAGCAAGCACAAGATGCCGAACACCCTTCACAGGACGCAGCGCGACCTTGACTAGCCAATTAGCGCTCGGCCCTTTCCCTACTTCGAACCAATAAACCAATCAGAGCAGCGTTCCTTTTCCGAAGAAACTGACCAATCAGAGCACCGAAGAAACTGGCCAACCAGCGCGCTGCCCCACGAAACCAACTAATCAGAGCTACGCGCTCGCGGGGGGAGGAGGGGCTGAGGGCGAGGGCAGATCGGCCGACATGTGGACCTGCAACCGGTATGACCCCATGAACGACGAGATGGACGCGGCTCCGCGAACGACTGCGAAGCTACCCCCCCCGGCCGGCGCAACGTGAGAGGATTGTAGCAGTTTTATGGCAACAGCAACGGAGTGTGTCGTAGAGCGGGGAGGAGCATAGAGCAGTGCTGTAGAGAAATATGTGCGTGTAGTATTGTTGGCAGCAGCGGAATGTGCGGGAGAGAAGCATCAGCAGAGTGTGACGATCAGCATGCGGTGTTACTGTAGCAAGAGCAACGTGTGCGCCGCGTACTATTCCACTTCCCCTCTCGGAAAAAAAGCATGACCAACCCCGGATTGCAGGCGACAGTGGCTGGCCGAGACAGAGACAATCGTGAACGTGGAGCGGTCCCTGCTTTTGTGCGCTCCCCCGAACACCGGGTCGTTGCAGTTCAGGATGCTCGCCAAACGGATGCAGGTATGTCCCGTGTTGTTTAGGCTGCCGTCTGTGTGTCTTTCTATTGTTAGTATCGACCACGCTATCCGGCTGACCAATGACAAGACGTCACTCTCAGTGCGGTTGAAAACAAGAAAAGGCCACGATCTGGGACCCCGTGCTGTTTTTTTTTTTTTTCGTATTGTGTGTGTGTGTGTGTTTTCATTATGAGCATCGACCGCGCCAACCGGCTGACCAATTGAAAGACGTCAGTGCCAGCGGGTAAAAATCAAGGTCCCTGGAAGGGGGCCAAAATTCGAAAAATGCGCAATGCGCTAGATGCGAATGCCAATACGACTCTCTCTCTACATGTTCTTTCACGAAGACACACATGTCATCTCCCAATTTGATAATCGTGCACTCCCAAGTGTCGACCGGTAGGTGACTCAAACAAAGTAGCAACACATACACTGCCATAGCTCCACACATGCCCTCGCCCGAACCTAGGAAGCCACTGATGCAAAGAGCGGAGGACAGCAAAAGGCTTATTTCAAGCCCAGCCGAAGCTAGGATATCGTGGTATGCTGCATCTCCCAATTTGATGATCGTACACTCCCAAGATCCAACAGTCATCGTGTCAGCAGCTAGGTGACTCAAACGAAATTGCAACACATACACGGCCATAGCTCCACACATGCCCTCGTCCGAACCT